CTTGAGAGTAGCATATTGCACAGCCCCTGCTCTGCAAATGTCATTCTTCAAATGAGGTGGCTGTGCTGGGGGAAGGGAGGGCAAGTGGTTAAATGGGGATGCTGAGATATGTTGCTTATTCCTTTAACAGCAAAAGTGATTTGCTCTCTTCTGGAGAGCTCTTTTACAAGGTCTGCTCAGTGAACCTTCAACAGCTGGTGCCTGTGAAAGTGTCTTTCTGAGGGCAGAGCTACGTAATTCCTTTTCCTAGAGTGGATGGTGGAGGAATGGAAAGGCTGCTGTAGGTGGCATGGCAAACTACACTGCTGTTCCTGGAAAACATCCAGTAGCCTTAACAAAATGAAGAGATTTCCGTGTTAGGGCACATGCCTCTTGGTATACTTCCTGCTTGGGCATACAGTTTGGGCAGCGCTCTGCCTTGGGTGTGACATGCTGCAACACTTGGACACAGAGACTGGTGTTGGGACAAGAGTCTTTGCTAGAATACATGTTGCAGTGCAGCCTTCTCTGCCCTGATGGGGCATATGTTCAGTGCTGGGATCTCTGTAATGAATTTTTATTTTGGTGGTGGCTTGGGTGTTGCTGATCAACTCTGTTGGAAGATAACCAGCAATGTCACCTACTGTCAAGAGACCGCTCCTTCCCCTCCTTTCCCCTGGGTCTTTTGAGGGCCTTTGCATTTGAACTGCCATTCATTCATTCTTGGTAGGCTTAGTACGCTCTTTGTCTCTAGGGACTCTTCCAGCACAGGTGTTGAAGCAGTGCAAAACTTTAGTCTCCAAGTGTTTCAGGGGCAGCTCCCCTGAGGAAAGACCTCCTCGTCTGAGAATGGTGGTGTCTCCTCTTTCAAGTGTCTCCATTCCTAGAGATGTGTTCACTTGCTTTATTCAGCCTCAAATCTTTAGAATACTATTTGCCAACACCTTCCTTGTTTGACAAGCAGTCATTTCAAAAAGCCTGGCCAGCCCAAAGTGTCTGCTCTCCTAGCTGTGTGCTCTACCAAGGCTGTAACATGTATCCTACAAGTTGTACTTCATCTCAGACATATGTTAGGATCTTTGTGCAGCAGTGACTAGGGTCTTGAAATAGTAGGGCCTGAGCAGTGAGGCCCTGAACCATGTCTGACCTCTAGATGAACCTCACAACCTAACAATGTACCTAATACGTGTAATATTGATCACATGCAATGTATTACCTTATGAATATATGCTAATTTATAAAAGCTTTGTTGTAACGTTTATAGACCATTGCTGTAATGCTTGCTGTGTAAGGTTAGTCATCAGAAAGGTGCTGGTTGTGTAACAGTAGCCACACTTGTTAAAAACAGACCTCTAGGCAAAAGAAGGTGGCATCTATATGGTGGATGCACTGTATGGAAATCTCCCAATTGCTGGGAAAGGTTCTCCAAATCCTCACTGCAAGCAGGCTCCCCAGCAAATGTGGATCTGGATGTTAGTAACGTATTATTAGGACAACTGGTGATGTATCTTTCTTAATCACTATCACTAACTGTGTAGTAATGATTAGGTGCATTACCTTATTTTATGCTTGCTATGGTAGTTTGCTTATTATTTTGCTGCTTTACCTTATCTTGCTTTGATTTATTTTCACTGTATTATTTTCCTCATTATTTTGTTACTTTAAACATAAGTAAAAATAAGCTTAATTCTTTAATTTTGTGCCTGTGTCCTTTGTGCTAACCCCGTCGATTGGCAAAACAGGTCTTCCAGCCCACATGATGCTGCAAATTAGAAATGATGGTAGTATTAGTGTCTTTTGGGCTTGCAACTTAACAAATGAAAGATTTTCCCTGTTTGTGAGCCAGTTTAGATATGGAAACATAAGGACAAACCTCTCCTCCTGTAACAGAGTACAGTTATTGCCTCAGAGCTTCTGTTCATGAATATTATGTTGGAAAAACACTACTTCTTACTTAATTTTGAGATTCCTATCTCTGCTTTACTTTATTTGTTTGCTGAGCTGTATACCGTGTATAATTACTACATGACTCCGTGATAATGGTGCTGCCAGTGAACAAAGACAAGACTGAATCTCTGTAAAAGTATTAAACTTTATGAAGGGAGAAGTTGTTTTTGTTGATTTACCTATCCCTTCCCACTCCCTTGCCCAGAATTTGCTCCATAGTTGCTTCGCAGTGGAAGAAATTTGGCTTTGCATAGTAGGCTGCTTTTGTTTTTTTCCCCATGGGTGGATGAGTGTGCTGGAGAGCTTTGCAAAGTTCTTGTGATTTGGATTAGGGCTGTTTGGAGCCCCAGATTTGCTCATCCGTTTGACATACAATAAATTCAACCACTGCTAACGTTTCAAAATCATTCTGCTGGGATTGTTTCAGGACAAAAGAATGTTTCCTTCGTTGCAATGTGGCCCAATTTCTTATGACAACGAGCTTTAGCAGCAAAAAATGCTGGTATGAATATAGCACCTGCAGACATTCACGTTCAGTGTTCATGGACCACCGAAGATGGTATTTAAAACACACACTGTGGTATGCTTGCAGTCAGATTTTGCTGTTTAATGGAAGGCTTATCTGAATACATGGTGCTGTTATGTTTGTGGTTTGTTCTCCTTTTTTTTTTTTAAATTTTTTTTTAAAGGATTACAGAAGGGAATAGCCAGGCTTTGAGGCTGATGCTTTTACATAACTGTTTTCAGTAACTTACATCAGGTAACTCACAGTTCACAAGCCTTTTTGACTTGATGTTTGCCTCAGGAAGGGGTGTGACGAACACACCCTGCCTTTGGGATAGGTGACCTGCTGGGGGGGCAGGAATATTGATCCCCTATGAAGTTCTGACTCTTCTGCCAGTAGACCTGTTTTGCAGGATGGAAAGTGATCAGACGTGATCCGTGGAGACTAATAAAAATTTTTTTCCAAGAATGTTGTCAGATGTTGTGTCTTTAGTGATTGGTTCTCACATCTTGGCCGAATCAATAAATAAATGAGAATCTCTTACATTTTGGTGCATGTGTTTGTAGCCTGAGCACTTGTTCTCACTGTCCTCACCTGCCTGCATCTGCTTTCTCCAGAAATCAGGTCGCTAGAGCACACTTTGGCATTTGGGGGCGAGCGGTGGTGTCGACTGTGCTCCATCTTGCTGATTTACAGCCAGAAATTATTAGTTTGTATAAAGAACAGGTCCTGCAGGTGGTCCCTGCCATTGCACACATCTGCAGGTGCCTGTGAGTGGGACCTCGGGCTCCTCTGGGGCACGGCGGCCCTGTGCTGCCCCTTGTTCCCTGCAGTGTGCTGAAAACAAGATTTAGGCCTGGGGGTTCCTACTGCTGCAGCTTATTTACAGCTGAAACTCTGCCTGGGTGTCTGTTACTGCCATTCGTTGTGGTTTGTCATTCTGTGCTGGTGGAAATGAGGGAAAGTGATGTATGCCGCTGCCCTGAAGTGGCTTGCAGGAGAAATGGGGGGAAAAAAAAGAAAAAGACCCAACTCTTTGTGTATTCTTGAATCACACAGACTGATGTCCTGTCAAAATGTAGCTGCATCAACCCATACTTCAAAGAGAAAGGTCAAGTCATGCTAAAAATCTCACTTTTCCACAACTCTCTGAGTTTCAGCTATTGCCTCCACAAACTTTCCAGTGGGAGCAGAAAAACACAAGTAAGTCTCCTGGTCTGGTAAAGTTAGATTGGCCTGGAAAATGCAGACCAGGACAGATAGTCCTCTGTTGCTTATGAGTAAGGAATGTAGAGAGTATTTATAAAAAGCATATGTTGTCTGGCCCTCGTAGACACACCGTACCTCCTCTGTCTTACAAAAAAACCTAAGGTCCTTGCATAGTAGCAACAACTCTGTGGCTTTGCTGTTACATCATGTATGTCAGGGGAGACCTGGAGTCTGTTAGTAACAACAGGAAGGATTGTTGTTCCTTTAGCATGTTTACAACCACATGCAAAATATTTAGATTGAGTCTTTTTTTTCACTGGATGTCCTTTTTTTTATTATTATTATTTTAAATGCCCTTCATCATTAGTACTTCCAAATTCCTTGTTAATATATGGACTCTTCCCTAGATAGAGACACCATTTGTGTATATATGTGCATGTGTGTGTATATATATATGTTTGTCCAAATTTACAGATGCAGTTAATTCTAAAGAGAACCAAGTTATCTTCAACTGCGTGTAAGGCAAAGCCTGTCACCAGCTGTTAAGCAAGCTGTCTGTAAAAAACAGCGACCAGAAAAATGTGTTAATACATGCTGTAAAACAAATGTCATAACAGCTTGTTATTTTTTTTTTTTATGATTGACACAAATAATGAACCCTAATTGTTTCATTGAGTCTAGGGTGATGTTAACCAAGTTACCTTTAACATCAATGTCCTTATAAAAATGATGCTACTATTAGGCCATCTTCTTAGTGTCAGTAAAAAGTTAAAGTGATATCAGGAAAGCATTTAAATAAATGCTTAACCTTCAGGATGTGAAAAAATTTTGAAAGATAAATGGGAATAAGTGCGCCTGTAATGCCAAGCAGATGCTCCATCTCCTTACTGAGTCCTTGTCTTGGCTGTTCCCAAGCAAAAGCATCTACTCCATAGCAGAAAATAACTACCCACATTGTAAAGCTGCCACGTGGCCGAGACAACCGCAAAAGGTGCCAACAGGGCAAGTGCCATGCTTCTGATGTTGGCCACTGTTATTTGCTGCTAAGGAAGGACAGATATTGTCTCACTGCAGTAAACTTTACCGGGAGGGCACAAGACTCTCTCATCTCTGTGTCAAGAAGGTTGCCAAATTCAACCATGTATTTTAAAAACTGGGGAAGTGGTTTCTCTTTAATCAGATAAAGCAGAAGTTCAGAGTGATTTTCACTAATTAGTTTAATAGCACTTAACATTAGAAGACTGCAAATCAGGCCAAAAGCATAATTTAGAGTATTTTAAAGATGTCCTGAATTACAAGAGCTCTCCTGTCTAGTAATTCTGTTTTGTTTCCTTACAGGTTAAACATATTGCTGGCTGGTATGAACCCCTTCTATTTCCATGCAGTGAATGTAATTTTACACTGTCTAGTGACTCTCGTGCTGATGTACACTTGTGACAAAGCTGTGTTCAAGGACTGTCGACTTGCTTTTGTCACGGCGCTGTTCTTTGCTGTGCATCCCATTCACACTGAGGCTGTAAGTATGTGGCACAAAAAAAAAAAAATGGTGACACAGAAGCTGAAAATAAATGCATGCTTTAAATTTTTTTTTTTTTTTTAAAGAAACCTCTGAGTCATACAGAGTATGGTATTTGTAATTTTTGCTGTGGAGGAGCAAAGGTGAGAATACACTATATTTAAAATAATTTGCAGGAATCATTAAGAAAGGAAGTGTATCCATACTTGCCATCTTTTTGCTCAGGCACTAAATTCTAATTGATGGTCCTAATCAGCGATGCTGGGAATAAATGGACACTCATTCAGCTGATGAAAATGTCAAGTCTCTGGAACCAAAGACCTTAGTGAGGCCGCGCTGTCCTGCTGGGACATTGTTGCATGCCTTCAGTCGTCTCCTATAGTCATCAGTTTAAGGGAGAAAAAGTGAAGGGAGCCTTAGTGTGTATTCTGGATGAAATCTCTCAGAGAGAGGTGATGTGGCCCATGGATTAATTTACGTTGATTTCGGTTAAAAGCTAGGAGTAGCATCTTCAGGAAAAAAATTGTTAGTTTAATAAATGTCATGGTAAGGTTACAGAGCAACAGCTCATTGGATATTTTTTTGTTTGCTACAAGAAAACATTTAAAGACATATTCATGCTAAAACTGCAGTCTGTTAGCGTGGGGATGTACTTCTGCAGATAAAATGAGTCTTGCTGTCTTTGGGAAGGAAATACGATGTCTAGCTGTTCATACTTAAATAAATGTGCTCGTTAGCTGAGATACCATTGGCATCACACGCTCTCGTTAGGAGCCTTTGTAAATGAGCGAGGGAAACGGCTGCTGCGGCTGAGAACTTTTGAGGAGAGATTACCTTAATAACAAAAAGCCATGAGCTTTACAGTTACTCCCTGTGCCGTCTCATGTGAACTAATCAGCTAGGCTCCTTTTGATAATACAGCTTTATATTATAAGGGAGGTTTTAGAAGAGGCATTCTTTGAGGTTATTTTTGACAGAGTCAGAATTTAAAAAGGTTAAAAAAAAAAGCCAGAGCACTGAATATAGCTTAATTAGGTAATCTCAAAAGAGGTGAAATTTCAAAGCACCTTTTATTTGCTTTATGAGCAATTTTTAGATATTTATGGATATTTTGTAAAAAGAGTGTTTATACATTCTTCTTCTGTGTTCCTCTTCTTATAAAAAGATTTGGTTAATTAATATCTAGAAAAAAACTCTCGCAAACTCAGATTATTCAGAGAGAGAATAAGTGACATACCATTCTGTCACTTTTTTGGTGATAAAGTTTATCAAAATATTAATTATTAACTCATTCTTATATAATAAATCATCTCCAAAGAGTTACTCTTTCATTAGTCTTTTTCTTTAACAAATCTCAGTTCTAGGATTTGGATGTGTTTCTCATTTAAGCCTTATTATACAAAATTAAAACAGATCCCTAAAATTGGCATTTCCCTATGCAACTTTATATAATTTAATCTTATATATTTAATGTTAATAAGAATGTAAAATATGATGTGACTCTTGGCTTACTCATTGTTTTTGCCAAGTGAGAAGTGCAGCAGACAAAACTGAGCATATCCTCCACTAACCAAGTAACATTTCAATATGTTGAGGGAGGGTGATGCTGAAAGAGAAAAAGCTTATAATAGTAGCAGCTGTAACAGTCACTGAATGTGCATGCCTTTTTATAGATGTGCTTTTACACCTGTGTGTGTCTGTTCCTTTTAGGTAACAGGTATAGTAGGCAGAGCGGATGTCCTCGCGTGTCTACTCTTTCTGTTGGCTTTTCTCTCCTATAATAGGTATGGATCCTTTCTATCAGTTGTGATAATATGATGAGATGCTCTAGTCTGTGGAGGAGGCAAAGGGGAAAACTAACAGTTTTCAGCTGGTGTAAGTGTACTTAGGGTATGTGTGAGTGCCCTGGCCCCTGTTTCCAGCCCCAGTGCCAAAGAAGTGACACTTATGAGAATGAATAAACATAAAAAGAGAAGTCAACAATTAAGGTCCCCTCTTTCATTGACATTACAGCTGACTGTACACTAGAGGAGGGCTTGAAGAGCTAAAAATTATAAAGAAATGTTTTCAACAGAGACAAATTGTATGTAAAGAACGGACACATGCCTGCCTCTGGAATACATCCTGTGATTGTGACACTCCAAAAATACGCAGTCTGGGGGAGTTAAGGATTGTGTCTAGACCATTAGTCATAATTTTCAGATGAAAATTTGGCACCATTATCTGGTCTGTGTCCTAAAACTGTAACTGAACAAGTATAGATTAGAAATTACTGGGATGGGGTTTCTGCCCCTTTTGCGTTGTTATTTCATTTAGGAATAGCACTGTGTCATCATGGCCACATGGAAAAACTGTTTATGTCCCTCTTGGGATGTTTGCTATACATCTATAATGCTGTTTTCATCAGAAGGTTTCAAAGGTGTAAAATGGGTAGTGACCACACAGGAATCAGCTTGTTTGATTTTTGTTTCTTTCTTACCTTGTTCCCTCTCATCCCCACCCAGCCTATTAATGATTAGGACACATCTTTGACCAAGGGGAGTGTGGGTGGGATGGAGGAATTTTTGCTTGCATGGTGCGTTTTATCACATAAGGAAAAATAAGCATGTGTGTTCTAGATGACAAAAAGCAGGTGTTTTCTCTGCACTTTCTGTCTTTGTACTTACCCTGCCTTCCTCTGACTGTTTTAAGTCCACTTGTCTTTTTTCCTTCTCTGCTTGAATTCTTGGTGCACCTCTCAGTGTTTGTGTTTGCCCTTCCTCTATCTAAACCTCTCTTCATGTATCAGCAAACAGTGTAGATTGTTCGTGTCATTATTACCAGGATCTTAAGAAATTAAGGAAAAGAGACTCAATATTTGTGTGAATGTAGTGAACATGAAAATAACAGAGAAGTTAAAAGTATTTGTGTTAAATCTATTTTTCAGGAGTGTGGATCATCTTTATGTCGGGGAACATTTCCCTCCCACTGCCTCCCCATTCTTTTTGCTGCTTAGTTTATTCCTTGGGACGTGTGCAATGCTGGTGAAAGAAACTGGAGTCACCGTGTTTGGTGTGTGCTTGGTTTATGACTTCTTTTCCCTCTCCTGCAATGGACTCAAACTGTAAGTAACTTGCTGTGCTTGCTGTGCTTTTCAAGTGTTGCCACCTGGGTGTGCAAAATATATATATTATTATATACAGCACTGTGGGAGATAGGCTTGCCCTGCTGAATTAGATGACTCACATTCGACAAATTTGGAAGGCACCAAGGTTTCATTCTGTTTTTTTTTTTTTTTTTTTTTCTGTTGTTACTCTATTGCTGCCTGATAACTTTTGCTGGGTAAGTAGATGAGATGTTTAGAACTGGTCTCTAAAATGCTCAATTCGCTCTGGCAAGACTAACGTTTATTTTTTTCCATGGGAGTTCTGACTGAAGCATCTTAAAATTTCCCTGGCTTAACTCCTTCCACTTGCAGCATCTGCTTGATTATTCAGTCACAATGGCACGGTTATAGAAATACCATATGACGTTTAGTAGTGAAATCAGGTTTGATCCTTTCTGTCCTTACAGAATGGAAAAAGAGGGAAAATATCCATCTGGTTCTGGAATGATTGGAATAATTAGAAGCTCTCAGCAGTCACTGGAGAAAAATCAATTACTTTGAAGTTTGTATCCCTCACCCACTTAGTATCACGAATAACTGTACTATTCTCTATGTCCATTAAAAGTCAGAAGTCTTTTGTTTGATAGAAGCTGGTTTTTGTCCATTTCTCTCCCAAACCATGCCTGGTGCAGATCTATTGACTCGTGAGTGAACAGAAGGGCTTACTGCCACTGAGAATGGGAGGTCTCACTCCTGCCATTGCTTCTGACGTTCCCACTGGTGCTGCCCCACAGGCTCTGGAGCCTGTCACACCCCTGTGTGAGCTAGTGTATCTAGGTTATAAAAAAGGACACTGAATTGATGTTTCTGCGGTAGTGAATTAAATCTACTCCTGTAAGGGTTTGGGGAGTGCTAGAGCTGGCACAATGCAAGAGCAGCAAATGCAGGGAGGAGAAGAGGGACTCTTCTTTTTCAGGAGCATCCTGGCTTCCCTCCCATTTCAGCCTTTTGTCTAGGTGCTAACTGGGGATGGACCATGTTTTGGGCCCTGCCTGTCCTCCCTCTATCCCCTCTAGCAGCAGTCGCAATCAGAGGGCAGGTATAATGGATTGGCAGAGGATTTCTCCTGCTTTGACTGGATAAGTAAATTCATAGTGGTGTAACTGGTGGGCAAGTAGTCAGGGAGGAGTATACTGGGGATCCACAGCCAAGCACGCCTGTTAATGCTTGCATTTACAGACAGCCAGGTGTGTTCCAGGAGCTGCCTGGTTAAAGGTAACACAAATGTTAAATAATCAAGGGGAAAAATCTGTGCCCTCCTCCTCCTCCCTCCCCTCAATCTCCCTCTTCCTATAGGTTCACATTCCAGTGGCCTCTTCAGGTTATTTCTTTGCTTCCCTGGCATCCGGTTACCCAGATGTGGCAGTTATTTAGCTTGCAGGAATGAAGCTCTGTAGTCCAGATGTGCTGCATTTTCATATTTGCTCTGGTTGCATGTATTGTGCACTTTTCTGTTTGTGGCACTCAGGATTTTATGACTGTATTTGACTTTTTTTAGGTGGCAGTAGAAAACCAGCATCCTTCTGCATGCTGCTGAAACTCATCCCCTTCTGCTCCTTCCTCCAACCTGTACAGATTTATTTTCTGTTTAAATGAGGCACAATGCCAATTATTTTCTGCAGAAAAAAAATAGGGATGTCACCACATTCTTTCTCGCAGTGTTTCCCAGCTCACCAGAGGTCCAGAGAACAGCTTGATACAGGAGCGCTTATCTTCTGTTGCTGCTGGGTCTCTTGCTCTAGATCTGGTTAGGAACCAATAAATCCTGTGCTCCCAGCATGCAAAGACTTTGTGTTTTGGACTAAGTAAAATGTCGTCTATTGTAGCTAGATACCATGTTGTGCTGTTTTCACAATGTTCAACCTTTTGGTAAGTAAATATCAAAAATAAAAATCCTTAAAACCTTTTATTTCCCCTTTCCTCCCTTTTCCCTTTTCTCTGCATGCGCAATCAGGAGAAATGGAGGCATCCACCAGAGACCTGCCCGGCAGTCTGCAGCTTCTCCCTCTGCCTCGCTGCAGGTCCCTCTGTCCAGCCGGGAGAACGGGAAGCATCGCTTTGCTCACCGGGGCACCTGGAGCTCCTGCCACCCGGCGTCACCTGAGGAACAGCAGAGCAGTGGCCTTTCTGTGCCCAGCAAAGCCATGTGGGCCATTCGGAGGTACTGCTGGCTACCTGCCGCTCTGGTTTGCAGCTGATGTCAAGTCATTCACTGTATTTTAGACATTTTTATCCTGAAATAGGCTCTAATTTTTCTTATGTTACTGGGCAGGGAAGAGAGGGGAAGGTGGAAGTTGAGGGTCAAGGGAAGAAAGAGGAGGGAAGCAAAAAGTGCGTTTCTTCTGCTTGGGAAGAGGAAAAAGTCTGAGGACTGTCCATGTCCTGAGACTTTCTGTCCTAATGTGATATTGATAGGCAATGCTCTCCTCAGTGGAGAAAGCCAAAGCTGTAATGGTAGTTTGAACATGAAGAGGGGGAATATGTTCATGTATACAGTAGTGCCTAAAGTCAGGTGAGTGCGATATAAGCGAGGTATTGTGTGATATTGCTATATATCTCTCTATACAAGTGTCTATGGGTATAATTTCTGCATGTAGGTATACATACATGTAGATGTGTGTGTATATGCATATTTATGTATGTATATGAAAGCAGAGGTGATGCCCACTTTTGCTTTATGTCTAAGAATGTGCCCATAAAGGTGAGAACCGGGCTCAGGCTGTAATAGAACGATTTTCACTGGTCAGGTCCAGCAGTTCTTGGCATGTTCATTGTTCACCTCATGGGGAAACAAGGACTTTCCCTAACTCAGGGCCACGCTGTGACACAGGACCAGCACTTGGTGCCCTTACTCCTGTGGAACAGTACTGAGTTAGTAAGAGCATTTAAAGCAGTGTGACTCAGCAGCCACACTGTGGGTCTCTACCGGAGTGTGTTTTTTTTCCACCTTTGTACAATCTCCCTGGTAGCCCTTGCCCAGCTTGCTCTTTGTTGCTCACTTCTGGTTTTAACTACAAAACACTCACAGTATTATTTAATTTTGAGACCTATGATATAATGAATTGCTCAACATTACCTATTCTTTGGAGAAAGTGTTTTGTTCCATAAGCAGATAAGGAATTACCTGTTGAAGTTCTCTGATCATTTAAAGGTTGGCACTTGAATTGCTTCCATGCAGTACTCCTGAAACCTGGGATAGGGAGTGTTTTATTCCCACATAACACACCTCATTAAACATTTCAGTGGGAGCTGTTTGTTGTTGGTGGTTTTTCTTTTTTTTTTTTTTTAAATAATCTTCTTGCTGCATCAGTATTGGTGGCATATAGGCATTACATGAGATCTGTAACTTCTCAGATCACAGAGTCTGTTTCTTCTGCCTGTAGTTTAAATGGTTCAACCCACTCAGGAGCTTCTGCCGTGCAGGTGCTTTGTCTGATTGGTCTGACTTGGGGATGGTTGGGTTTTTGCTTTTGTTTTTAGCAAGGATGGGGAGTGGGTTTGGTTGTGCTGCCTCTCTGTATGGGAACCTGTGATACAAAAATGGTGAGGAAGTCAAGGCTTTTCAGAGTGGGCAAGTGCCAGCTGCTCTGCTGCAGAGACTCTTCTGGCTGTTGGGAACAGCTTCTAAAATTGTTTGTTTGTTTGTTTTTTGAATTAATTTCTTCTGCTCTATCCCCAAATGAGTAGAACAATTAGAAAGTGTGGGTGACCTTGGTTCCTTCTGATATGCCAGGCCAGAATGGGCTGTCCAAGTGCCTCCTTTAACATCTTGCCTCTGAAAGTTTAGGACCTGGTGGGCAAGAGTAACCTGAGCACAGACACTGGTGCAGCTGCTATTCCTGGCCTTTGCTCTCTCCATGTTTCTTTCAATGCTTTTGTTCTTTTTGATATTTGTGTTAGTATCCCTCAGGGAAAACAGAAACAATGGTGGAGGGTATCAATATAAAAAAAAAAAATCTCCTGTCTTGTTCCGTTTTCTTGTTCCTTGTTTCTTTTACTCCTGTTTCTTTCCTCCTGCTGCTCCTTTCCCTCCCTCCTTTGCTTTATCCTTCTTCCAGGCACCCTCCCTCTGCCCCCGCTTTTGGGGACATCCCTTCCTTACACTGAGGGGAAAGCCTCTGGTTTTCCAGCCTCTTCAGGAGGGGCTGCAGAAGTTATGTTGCAGAGACCGTGCACGTGGGATGGCTTCAGAGGGAACTCATCCACACTGCCAACTGGCATTGGCTTTTCGGCAGCTGCCTCTTCAAGTGTCGTAAAAGATTTCTGCACATGGGAAATCAAGCTCTGCGTGTGCATAGCTGCTTTCTTTTTAAAAAGGGGCTCTCATGGTGTAAGCTGCTCAGCTTCTCTTGCCAAGTGACCGACTGCGTGCAATGCATTTGCAACAGCCTGTTGTGTGATGGCTCGCTGTGGGATGCCGAAAGTAGAGCTGGTGTGGTCCCAGTGGCTGGGGGGGAAGACTAGTGCCACACTGTTTCGGGAGAGTTGTGCCTGAGAGCCTTGGGGGAGAAAGCCTGGGAAGGGTTAACGGATGCTGCTTTGAAAGAAACTCCTCTAAAACACTGTTGACAACCTTCTTTGCTAGTTTTTTCCCTTGCTCTGAATTCTTGTTTCCCCGGAAGGCAGGATGAGGCTGGATAATTTATTGTTGCATGAAAAAATAGCCTCATAGAGCCTGGGCAATTTGACCAGTGCCTGCTTGTCTAATGTCAGTGTTTGCTGGTCGCTATAAAAAATAAATGTGCTGCTACAGCTTTTGTAATTTCAAGAGATCTTCTCAATTCGCAACCACAAGGAGCATGCTTGCAGTTGTATGGAACAGTGAGATTAAATGTATTGCAGCTCACTGACTCTCAAAAGGATGTCCACAACACGTGGAGGTCTGAGGACCACTGCCTTTTTGTATAACTGCAGTCTTCTCCTTACTGCCATTTGCTGACTCCACTGGATTAAAATAGTTGAAATACTTTCTGTACATAGACTTTCTTTAGTGCTGTTGGTGTATTATGTGATATGAAGTAGGAAGTAGTCGAGGCAACTACTCTATTAAAAAACAATCCATCTTTAAACAAAAATTCATCTGTAGTAAGGATTTTGAAAGATAGGAAAAAAATTGAAGTTGCTGTCAAATGTATGAAATTAATTACACAATTTCTCGTCTGTAAACGATGTTTCTCTGACTCATGTGAGTCTCTTTCATGGGAAAAGGGAGGGGAAAAGATTTTACGTATTTCAAAAACTAAAGTTGGAGGGCAGATTTGACACAGTGAAGTAGCGTCAGGTACCTTATCTAGTGCACCAGGTTGCTAGTTACAAGGTCTTCATTAAAATAAAGGAGTTATGCACTGCTTGACCTGTACTTTTAAGTACTTGTAATGTAATCAACTAGGTTTCTATTTAATAATTATTTGGTATTTATCTTGCTACTAGAACTAATGGAAAAATGCAGGAAAACGTTATGGGGGAGTGAAGGGAATCAGTCTAATTAGCAGTAACTGGAGCTAGTTATGTAAATTCTTGGTGCAGAGAGATTTCTGTTATTATTGTCACTTGCTCTTATCTTCAGCTATCCAGTAAATGTGTGGGTTGCAGTCCTGGGTGCCCTGAGGAGTAAGGAATGAATTAGGTTGGATGAAACTATAAGTTTTATCACCGCTATTTGTTGCAATTTTGGGGGATGCTGGCGTATGCTACTGAAACGAGGTAACCAGGGTCTCTTACGCGTTTGATCCTTCTCCCTGAGTTTTAAGACCTGAAAGAGGCTTGTGACCGTACGTGCCCTCCTGTATGACACAAATGGAGAAGGGCAGACAGGAATTTCACGTCAGGCTTCTATTTCTGTTTGGGATAAGGCCAGAGCTTCAGTGCTTTCTCAGTGACGGTGCAGTATGCATATATGTGTCTTATTAAAAAGCAGTATCAGTGCCCACACCTCATTGCTCACCACAGTGATACTCTGTTAAATCCATGAATATGTTTAACAAGGATGATATATGTAAAACAATAACCTGTCACAGTCACTTGTGCAAGTTGTGTCCATAGTTATTGTCACTCATTCTCTTTTTTTGGTTTGCTGAACCCACTGAAAACCAAGATCTGTTTTTTTGACTTTTTTTTTTTTTTTTTTAATCCAAGGCTACATATAGTTGTAGTCATGACTCACGCTGAGCATTGCTAAATGCTGTCCAGCTTGTGGACACCCTCATATCACATGCTCACCCTGATGGTTTTGAGCTTTGTAAATGAGCCTGTGGTGGGCCCTCAGTCTAAGGTTCTTGAAAAACAAGACTCCTCAATAGCATGTGTACTTTTGGAACAGAAATCTGTTTCTCTTTGGTGACCTAGAAACTGATTTCTCTTGCATCTGCTGTTGGTGATTTAGCTGGTGAGGCTCTTCACTTAGAATGGACAATAGACTGGTGTTTAATGCTGCCATTTTCAATGTACATGAGCTGTTGCATTAGTTTTTTTGGGTTTGGGGGTTTTTTTAATTTTTTTGCCAAGTGACAGAATGAGAGAAGAAGCAGGTGTACTTGGAGCTGTGACCAACAGCATCACTCTAAATCTCTGCGTATGTGCAAAAAAGAGTGAGGGAGCTCACTACTATTAGCACTGTGGGATCCAGGCACAAAACCCCATTGATTCAAAATTCAAAGAATTCCTTAAGGCTATAGCAGGGGTAAATGTGATCTGATGACTAAACCAGCAGCAGTGTTGTTTCCTTTTGCACTAGCAGGGGAAAGAAAGTGGTGCATTCCAGAGGTGGCTGCGCTGACCCTAAGATTGACATACTGTGAGGAAAAGTGTGTTGAGGTCATAACGTATCTTCCCTGAGTCCCCGCGCAGCATGCATGGTCAGTGCTTGAGCTGAAACAGATTCTGTTCTCCGATATGAAGGGAGAATGAGGGAGAGGTGGGGAAAAGCTTAGGCACACATAACAGGCAACCACGTAGCAATTGCTTGGTGTTGATTTGTCTTTTCCTTATTGGGTGCTTCCATTTCCAATTCTTGTGTGGCAAGGTTTTTTTTTTTGTTTTTTTTTTTTTTTGACTAATTTGATAATGTAGCATATTTCTGCTTTAACATGGAATTTCTGTTCAAAAAGCAGAAATCTCAGCTGTGTTTCTAATGCATCCACTTGCCATGCAGTGAAATGCTGT